ATGGCAAAACTATGTTATGGCACACATAATTAAGTAATTTTGTGCATACCATCATTAGACAACTTCAAATCATCTACACAATGAGAAATAAATGAGTTTATGGCATTTGTACTGCAAAGATCATCATACAATTAATGCTGGGACCATGTAATACTACAACAAGGGTGAATTTCACACTTTCAGACAAATGAAACTGATGGAAGTGTAACTTATGCCAACACCACTTCTGATTCTACAATGAATATAAATGAATACAAAGAATACAAAGTGTTCATAATTCAGAAGCAGCCCAATTCAAATGCATTGTGAAGACAAGCCAAAGGCCATTGCTCAATCCTGTAGAGACTGATACACAATGTGTCAATGAGAGAAGAAGATGCAACTAAAAGAATGTGACTTAAGCTTTAGAAGCATACATGAACATTAGTCTCTTAGTGAAGCCCTACAGTCAACATGTGAATAAGGCATGAAAATTGTACAAAATGCCATAGTAGGAATAATTACACTCACCTCCACTCCTGACTTTAAGGGCTGCAATCAGCCATGCTATGCCCATAATGAGCAAGAAGAAAACTCCAAAAAGGATTGGTTTGAAAGACTATAATTCCTCTTGCCATGACATCAATAATGGAAAGTAGAAAGAAGTGCACCAAGTACTAGAGGTGAAAGAGGGCATGCAAGATTGGATAGGCATGACAGAGTATTTCTCATAGCACACATCATTGATGTTATACTGCACTTGGAAGTGGCAAAAAAGAGTTCTCACACTCTTAATAACATTACATGTAGAATTCTTATCTACGGTTTTCCACTAGAACAATCATTCAGCTAACATATTTGTAGCATGAAAAGCTTGAAGTGTGATTAGCCACATTTCACTTTTGCACTAATCTTCCTATGGAAAGCAATTTTTTGTTAATTTTTAGAAGACTATCCCCAGGTTCATTAAGAATCAAGAGAAGGTGCCAGGATGGTCCGAAGTAAGTAAACCTGTAAGTAAACCCGATCTGCTCAAGCAGGTATCTTGTTTTTACCACAAAAAAAATATTGCCTTAGCTGCTTGGATGCATGAGTGGAGTAGGATGTCACAATGTTCCTCTAACTCAGTGGTTCTCAACATTTTAATACCAATGGCAAACTTTTCCAGTAGAAAGATATAAACAGCAACCCCATAACTAACCTATAACCAATAATATAGGTTCAAATAAAAATTCTGAAAAACAAGTTGCAGAACCTCAAAGTTCATCCAAGTAAAAGTTTATGACCTCTCACATATGAAAATAACAATTTCAAGATGATACACTCAAACTCCAATTTTTTTAATTTAATACAAACTTACATTTTTGAAAATGCTTATCCCAGCTTAATAGGATTGTGGTTCTAGCAGGAGCATCCTCCAGTGCTTGTGATCTTGGACAATGGACTCAAGCTTGGCCAGTGGTATATTGAACTTCTCATGGCATAGGTTCACAATGTAGTCTGACCATCTTGGAGGAGGCCTACTGATTTTTGATTGGAAGACTATTTTTTGAAGTCTCTTGGGAGGTCACACAGGAGACATGTTGGAACCAACAGGCTTGGGATCTCTCAAACTGAAGAAATAGCTGTTTGATCTGGAGCTCTTGCAGATGGCAACACTCTGCATCCTCTCACAACGCATGAAACTGGCTGCCACATGTAAGAACCTCATTTCGGCATTTTGTATCTGTGACCTAATTCCTTAGGTCATTAACCCTTTCATAGTCAAGCACTGAAATATCAGTCATCCTCCAGGAAGGCTTAGGAAAAACTGGACTGTGAAAGGGTTAACCACAGAGTTCATGACCATAGGTGAGGGTGGGAAGGTGAAGACTCTTAAGAACCCAAAGTTTTGCCTTCTTGGAAGTGTCAGATTTGGCAACCACAGTCCTCCAGAGATCCTGCAAAACTGTGGAAACCCTGGAGATATGGCTGGCTATCTCCTTTCCATATCATTCATCACTTGAGAACCAGACCCCAAGGTACTTAAACTTCTCCACCTATTGTGTACCTTAAACATGTTAGTGGGGCCCTCCCTAACATGTTTAAGGTACACTGTACAAGATTCCTTAAGAGGACCATAACCTGTGTTTTGGGCATGCTCAACTTCATTCCGGCCAAAATACATTCTGAGTTGAACCTATAGAGCATGCCCTAAAGCTCATGTCAAGATTGGGCCAAAAGGATGGCATCATCAGGAAAGAGAAGTATCTTTACCTCATATTAGCATAGTAGTACTGCTGATTTCAAATCACTGCAATACATGTTCCACAATGACTTGTAGTGTGAAACACTGAAAACATCAGAAAAAAAAGCAAAACATTTTCTGGTACTCAAATTATGGGATAGAAATGCCAAAGAGAGATGAACTTACATTTTCAGCAATATGTTCAAACAAAAATGACAAGCAACCAAATAGAGTGGCTGAAGAACCATGTTTTTTATTTGAAAGATACTAGTTGATTGAAGGGCTCCATAGAACGAAGTACTGGGAGTATGACTGGTAAAAGAAAAGATAGGATACATGTATCATCAGGTGGGGATTATACTGTTCTCTGTCCAAACTTATAAATTTGAGACTTATTAACTTTATTGAGTTTGTTGCATTAAAGCAAAAGATACACTAACTTTGCAGGGTAACACATGATATCTGCAGATCCTTAGATTATAAATCTGTGGAATGTGCAGCCTGCTATTTCAAGAAAATAAATTCACTGATGTTAAAATGGCTAAAATGTATAATGTTTAAACACCTCAAACCAAAAAAAAGAAAATCATGTTCATGGGATTTAGCATGTGTACATGTTGCTCAGGCCTTAGGAGGTTAAAATTCTGAGACAAAGGGGCACTGTTACCTCTTAGCATTTCTAACCCCTTAAGGTATTAAGTAAAAAATAAAATTAAAATTAAAGTCTGCCAACACACATGGCCCACAGGTTGGGAAAAAACAGCTCCAACTTATCTTGCACAAGTGCTACCCACCAATTATACTGGGTGAAGCAAAAAAAGTGCCACAATATGCAATTTCTGGAGTTCATGAGAAATCAGATAAGAGTTTAAAAATTTTTTCCTATTACTTCTACATATTCTTTAACAGATTGACTGCCATGGCTGTAATGATCTGGTGACTTTCCTGTGCCAAAGTCATTTTTATATCCCCAGGAGACTCCTTAGCAACATACTTTGATCATACCATGCTATTTATAATTTTAAGTGGTCTTTTGCAGACTTTTTAGTGAGGCGCACCGGTGTGCCTCATGGCGTGTGGAATGCAATTAGGTTTACCATGCCACAAGGACCACCAGTGGGCCTCACAAGTTTTAACAAACCATGGGGCCATTCTCTAAGTTTACCTAGTTTGAATTGAACTTTGCACGCGTGGTGCCTCTGACGCTGCCCATTTTGTAGTTGTTCATGATGTTGCGCATTGGAGTACTTTCCTGGATTGTACACCCAGTCCCAAAAAATTATGGAACCTTTTTCAATTTTTAGTCACTGTAATTGGTTCAGGCTATCGCTGTACACTTCCGTGGGATGACTAATGCATCAAATGCGTGCTAAGTTCTTGTTCCAATCGCTGGTTCTTGAAATACAGGTTATTCAGAGTGTACCAGCAGTAAGGGAGTGCCACCAGAACTGTACAGGCGAATTAGTCCAAATTCAATATTGTGCCTATACGTATTTATTTTTACAACCCCCTGTAAGGGTAAATATAATTGAGGAAAGATTAGCCCATAAACATAGTTCACTTTCCTGGGCCACGGCATCACAAAACCTCTGCAGCACTGAGACGCACTGGTGAAGCCTGAGGTGCAACAAAGGAAAAGAGGTGGTGCGTACCAGTGCACCCCATGGTGCAGGAAAAGGGACTCTATGAGGTGCACCAGTATGCCTCATGGTGGTCAACCTGTTAATGTCCTAAAAGTATTGTTCTATTGTTGTCTCCAGCCATTCTAGTGCAGGAGCTAAAATGCAAAGTGCACTCAATTTTTTTTTGCATGAGAAAACATATTATGCAAGGAGCATACCAACCATGAGCCAGAGCTCCTCTGTTTGCTCATAAAAATGCTGCTCCTTGTGAAAGAATGGGGTGAGACAGAATTTCACAAGAATTGCTGGTTAAGGAGAAAAGAAATGTAGGCTTACCATTAAGAGATTGATTCACAAGCTGCAAGAAACCAATTTATCTAAGAAGAGGAGCAGAAGATTGAAACTAGCCAGAGCTGAAGGCAACTGTGTTCATGTGGAAGAAGTAATTGTTTCTCACTACCATAATCTTAAGATGCAAAATTCCCATCTGCAAATTGCCAAATGTAAGGCATAAGGATGAGTCAGAGATTCACTTAGCAGATTCTGAGGTGAAGAGGAAAAAACCCTGAAAAAGATTAGTCATTCCTTGTGAGGTGGAACACATCCTCTCATCAGCATCCAGGTGCAGTGCAAAAATTAAGTTCCAATCACTTTTATAAAATCACATGTGATAAAACCGCTGGAGATAAATGGACAAACATTTTACATGCTCAAAGGATGCATAGAGGTGTGTAGGAAAAAAAACGTACTCATTCCAGCTGCTGTTTCAGATGTGCCATAAATTTTCAAAGAGCTGCATTGTTTTTCTTTTTTTGCTCATCCAGTATATGCAGGAAGTAAAAGTAGCCCCATGGATCTCATCCCAGAATAAGTCTGGGTCCAGGATCTCCTTTACTCCACTGCTACTCTGAAGGCTCTCATGTTTTTTTTATTCCTAGCTTTAGGACAGAGCAGAAGGTTGCACATTGGCAAGCCTTGTCTTTTACCTGCAAATAGGAAATCAAGGTATAACTTCTCTCTAGGGGAAAGTTTGCCCTGCAAGCACTCTATTTTGCAATTGAGTACAAATGTGACAACTCAGAGCTTTTGAATGCTTTCTGAATGGATTTAAACACTTATTTATTCACTTAGAGAACAACATCATCAGTGATTTCTCATTAAGCAGAAAATGACATGAATGATCTCACCAGGAACCCAAGTTCTCAACTCATGAATTTCTGATTTGGTATTCACACACTTTATTTATTCTTTTCTTCCTACAAAAAGGTCACAGGGGCCAACACAAGCAAAACTACAATTTGTATTACTTTCATAGCAACTATAGAGCACAAAAGAGAAGCTATTAATAAATGTGCAATGCATGTAAGCATGCTTTATATTAGGTGTAATATTTACTATGTGAAGTAGTTCTACACAGTAGTAGAACATGGAGCTACACTCCTTAAAAACTGAATGGTAACTAAATGAAAGACAGCTTCCCATGTGGATTATTTCCTGTGAAAAATGAGGATAAGTTATCAACAGACATGAGGAATAACATCCTTTCATAAATCTTTTGACATTTTGAAGTGGAATACCCCAGGTCCCTAATTCTACCAATTTTGTAAGTAAAAAACCAAACATATTTCATCTCCATGACATTCATTACCTCCAGGTATTTAATCCACCTTTCATTTGATATTTTTTACAATTTCATACCTGGAGTACAACACAACCAATTCAAGGTTAAATGTTATACTAAAAAGTCATATCCAGACATCAGCAAACCTATGTTTTTATTGCATTTTTTCTCAAGTAATTTCTGGATTAAGTGGCACAAGATTCAAGTTTTTATATTGAATAGGTTTTGTAATTATAGGCCTTCAAAGTTTTGAGGTCATGCCATGAACTCTGTAAATTGTAACCCTTGTGCCATTGCTCTGATGGGACTAAAATTTAAAATACCATTTTTGGCTCATAAAGATGAAAAAAAAAGCCAAATGTAATCCAAATCTGAGGAGGTGCCCATTAACCCTTGAGTGAGTTAGCACAAAATGACACTCTTAAAATTGTACAAACTGCCACTCTCCTAGATTGGAGACCCAAGTTATATTTGCAAACCAATTTGGGTGAAAGAAGTTGTTCGCATAATTGAAGTATTCTTTTTTTGAATGCAATTAATATAATACTGCAAACACTTCCCGTTAGATTCAACAGAGATCAGGACTTCGTGTAATCTATCCTGCATTGAATGCAACAGAATACATTCAGGAATGAAGGAAACACCAAGTGGGACATGCCAGCATCAGAGACACCAGGCTCTTGCTTATAGACCTCATGTATTTCTTGGGCGTCGAGTCTGTAAAATCTTGAGTTTCTCCTTATTAGGAACAGGATCCTCACACACATGCACAACAATTCCAGGTTGATTCTCAGAAGGTTTGTGGACCTCGTGTGGTTCACCTGTAGGGGTGATGGAATGAGCAAAAAATCTTTCCTGGTTTGCTTGATGACTAACCAAATTGACAAAAGCATATTCAAATAGAGATGCAGTAGATAATTCAATTAAAAACAAAGCCACAACAGCATCAAGCACCAACATAATTATTGAATCCCATCAAGAATATACCTTTAAAGTTTACAGGTGAAATTTGGCACTGATAAAAATCAGAAGGCAGTAAAAAGTAAAAAGGCAGGATAAACAATAAATGTTTAGGATGTCATGAAACATTCTTCCAGCATGCCTATTGAAACCTGAATATTTTGATCATACATTAGATCATTAATGAAGTGCACAGACCAGGGGCAAGTTGTGTAACTGCAGAGATCAGATCATAATTGATGACAGGAGTAGCTTCATGACATTGTTCCCATCCAACAGGTGGAGATGAGGGAGGAGAGATGAGAAACATCTTGTCTGGTTTTGGAGGAGCCAAATGTCCTTCTTCCTCAGAGGTCTGCTTTTTCAATACCTGCACCCTCCCCAAGAAAGCAGCATTGACTGTGACTTATAGTACAATAAAAAGCCTGTAACTCATAACAGACATGCTATTCTGCTTCAGTTTGTCACAAGAATAATTCAAAAATTGATGGGAACAGGTAATTTCAGCCACATGAAATTGCATACTTTGTTCTGGAATTGTTACAGCCTATGTTAACTGTTGCTGACCCCTGTGCATCTCTCAAAATCAAAGCTGCATACAACTAAGCATTAACTACATTAATTCCAGTCACCAAAACAGAGGACCTCTCTAATATTGATATATTATCATCCCATTTCCATTTTGTCCATGAATTCCCATGTGAAGGTCTATTTTGAAGAAACCAGCCTCATTGCTGATATTGACATGCAATATTGCTTTTCCCCCTCTAGGTCAATATGATAATATCTACAGAATGTTTATTCCTTCCTTCTGGTGGTGAGATCTTCTTGTCGGAATCTCCAAAGCTTTTGGAGGACTCTGGCAGAGAGGGCTCCAGCATAATTTTCAAGACTGAATGGCATACATAGTTTCAATTACTATCTCACTCATACTTAATGTCTCACAAGCAACCTGCCATTCTGGAAGGTTATACCCTTTTCACTTTGGCATTCACTAAGAAAATGTCCTTGACCTGATTATCTTCATCTTAGTCATTAATAACATTATTTTCACACTGGAGAACATGGTCCATTTGTTTGCAAATGACATCCTGCATGTAAGCTTACTGTCTCATAGGAGCAGGTCCTTGCCTTGCTCCAATGAAACCTGGCATTCATATTTGAATATGCATAAATAGAACATATTTTTATTCATTGATGTTGGAACATAACATCAATCATTCCCAATGAATTCACACTAAAAATATACCAGCACCAATCCAAAGAAAGCCTTTTCTTTAAGGATAGAATATGCAGTGGACATAAAACAATGGTTGCTTTTCAGCTACAGTACACAGAGAGGAAGGGATGCTTGCTAAGCACAGGCACCACAACCAGCATCAAGGAAGGGAAACCCCTTCAATAGTCCTGTTGGAAGCCTTAGAGACAGCAACCCGGGGTTGCAAAGGTCCATGATTGGCCCTATTGACTCTGAGGTATACTTGCCTTCATCTCCTGAATGTGACACACCACGGTGTAAGCAAGTGCTATACTAATGGTAGGCAGATAATACCCAGAGGACAAATAAGTTGCCTGTCTATGGAGATGTGCCTGCCTCCCACAGTTCCATGTCTTTCAAGTCTCAGACTCAGCCACTGAAGCTGAAAATCCATATTTGTATACCTTCCTCCAAGAAACAGCTTTCTCCAATCCTTTTCATCTTCCAAACTTCAAGACACATTTTTCCATCCTTGAGATTCCCTGAAGCTTCTTGGGGTTGCTTTTAAATACTCACCCCACTTGGGATGCTCATATTCATCACAGAGCACTCTACTGCCTTATTCAAGATATGGTCCCCCAAGGAATTCAGAATGGCAGAAAAATTGTACTTGTCTTGTATGCTGTATTTCTTTTTTGGTCTTGGATCATCAACCAAATAACCACTACCAATATAACTCTATCTTTTTCTGAACTGTTGGTAATTTTCAAACCTTTTTATTCATGTATACATCCATGAACTCAAAATCAGGAAGAGCCACTCCTCCTTTTGCCAAGTTAATGAAAAATAAGAAAATACTAGGGTTGAGCAAAAAGTTCAGGGACTGAATTTTTTATGATGCTGTGGTGACTCTTTCCAACTACTGATGGTCAGATTCTTCAAACTAGTCCTTTTTGGCATCTACACAAATTTTCCGGTGTATCTGTCCCTGAACATTGATCACCCCTCATACATCCCACCCCTGTTAACAATCAACAGGACTCTGATGTCACCTTTACTCTTATTTTACAGAAATTGAAATGGTTGAAGATGAGCTCTAAAAAATTGCATACCTGAGCAAAGAAGACTTTGATTTCAGAACCAGCCACATCCAACCCATCTAGATATAATCGGGCCTCAGCTGCTTTACTGTGATCACTGAACAGCACTCTTGCTCTCCTGAAGCTCTTGAAGTAATTCACCAGGACATCAGGATCAAACTCCTTGAACAGTCCCTCAAATTCTGTCTGTAAAGATGGGGAATAGGCTGTCACAATCATATCATTCACACTCCATGCATAGAAAAATAAAACTGGCATCTTAAGCCTTCCAAAAGGCACTTTGTCATACCACCCTAGTGCAATGCTGCTTACACCTTGCTAAACTTCACAACCAGCTAACATATACAAGAAAAAGCAAGCTGCGTGGATGTGTATCAGAGAATACCATCTACTTAGTTCCAATGGCCTGAGAGCGGAATGTACTTTCCAGTGTCTCATAAAAGTCTATTTTCCTCCTAAAACATGATCATATATACAGGAGTCCATCCCTCAAACCATATGATTATTTCATATAAAACATATATGCTGTCCAGGTCTGCTCAATATATGAATAGTCTTCACACTGACCATATGCTTCATCCATATATGCCCTCATATACATGTTCATATTTCAATACATGAAATATATTTGAATTTATATGGCACAAATAATTGCATATAACTACCATATATGAACTTTTCGCATGGGAGAGGGGTCTTCTCAATTATGCATGACACTATCTGACATTATATATATAGAGAAGGGTTAAGATGCATGAAAGAATCTGATATTCTGACATGACTATCAGAATGCTAATGGCCTTCATTATTTCTACTTTCCATCCCATTACATGAGAAAAATGAATATAAATGTGGAAAATAATGAAAATCCAATCCAATCTAATAGACCAGGGGTGTCAAACTCAAATCGGTCGGCGGGCCGCATTCCTTATCCTGCAGATGCCTGCGGGCCGCACCAATACTTTTTCACAGAAATTTGTGCAATCAGTCAATCCAAGCGGAAATTTCAAGAACAGGCGGTGGGCCGGATGAACCACCTCCGCGGGCCGGATCCGGCCCGCGGGCCGTATGTTTGACACCCCTATAATAGACCTATCTATCTATATAAATGATATTGTTCAAAAAGATTACTTGTGTCCCAAGATTACCATACAAGTCAAGAATAATGTGGCAGTACAACCTGAGAAAATTCTTTACCATGTATGAATGACTTACGAGAGGGACAATGAGAACCTTACCTTCAAAAGCTCACTATTGAAGACATCCAGGCTAACATTAGTCACTATGAGTGATATTGGGAGCTCATCACTATCGTGGGCTGCATCAGGTGTGCTGGATCTGCTCCTATTTGCACTAGTATCACATTGTGTATCCATCACACCCATAAGAGCATACTCCCCAAAAACATTCTTAAGTATCTATAGAGATATTATCATCAGATTCACTCATGGCTGCAGGTAACTTATCAATATTAACAATGCAATCAGATCAAAGCCATAGATTAGTGCTTGCCATTAGTCACAGGTCAATTTAAAAAGAAATTAGTGACTACTAGTGGCCTGTGGCCACTACACTGACTGTCTAATGGACAGAAATTTGAAAATATTCACATAAAGATATGAAGCAGTTCAGGCCAAACCAAAACATTAAAAATTTTACAGTTTCTTGGTTGAATTTCTTCTTCAATTGTCAAGTCGTTTCCTTTACATTCTGGCCAAATTCAGAGTAAAGCCGAACAATTAGTACATGATTGTTAAGTCAAACATTTCACAGTCATTTTCCTTTAACCCCTTGAAATTGGAATCAATCCCATTGGAGACACAATCCATCAGACACATGACAATGTGACTCAGCACTGTAGTCATGTTTTCAAATGTGAATGCCTTTAAATGATCCCTGAAAAAGGAATTCAAATTATGTCTCAAGAATGAAGATATCATCAACAAAAAATGCAGACACTTTTTACTTGATAGAGAATTATCTCTTCTTTCTAATGGTGTAAACTATGTCTCAATCAAATCTAGCATCATGAAATAATTAATTTTCAAAAGGTGGGCAGGACTCTTGACACACCCTGTAATAATTGCCATCTACAGGATGAGTCTTTTAAAAGTATATTAAAGTTTTATAGCCTAGCCTAAGGCCAAGAATGGCAGAGCCTTGTAGACCTTGCGTGTTAGGCCACGGATGAGTGACTACCATTCACCACTGCTTTCAGTCTCTTTCAATTTTTATGGCCTAGCCTATGGCCCAGAACAGCAGAGCCTAGTAGGCCTGGTGCTTTAGGCTGTGGATGACCTAGCCAATGGCCAAGAATGGCATAGCATTGTAGGCCTTGTGCATTAGGAGTGAGAAACACCACAACTTTCAGCCTCTTTCCATTAAAGTATTAGATAATTTGACAAAGTTATCACCAAACAGGCAATTGAAAAAAGATCATTAGGACTTGCCCTAATGGCACACAAACATTATCCACATTGAAAGCAGATACTGCACATCTTGTGCATTTGCTACTCTCCCTGTAGATGAAAGATCTTCACTGTGCACATTGCAGTCCTCTCCCCTTCTCTCATTGCTCATAGGGGTTGAATGTCCCCAAGCATAATAATAGGGGGTTAGAAAAAAGCACACTACTGTTTGAATGGTTACTTCTGAAAAACAGGGAAAGTTATTGCTGAGTTTGTCCCACCTAGTCAGCATATTACATTTGTTCTAATAAGTAATCTTTAAAAATAAAATTTCCATCAGTTGGTTTAGCCAAACAGGTGCTTTGAAGTTTGCTAATTAAATATATGGAAATCCTCATCTAAGGAGACTCACAATTGGATAAACAATGAGATGGCCTTCCACCTGGACAACAGCATTCAGCTGCTGTTTCCATAAAAGAATAACTTTTTTCAATAACCAGTTCACACTTCCATCCAGAAAGCACACTTAAATACTGCTCTCTGCCTCAGTCAGCATAAGGCTAACAACTGGTGGAAATTCCCATAAATTTTACTCACATCACAAAATGCTTCTCTGGCTAAACCAGATGGCATTAAATTAATTTAAATGCTAGTGTGTAAGACATGACAAAGATACATTTATCATGTAAGATGTGTTATAATAGCAACTTCTGATTTCCTGATACACAAATTCAAAATGTAGTGCTTTTTTTTCTGCAAACCCAGTATTTGCAAGTCCCATTTGGCTGCTCCAGAACCATAGAAGAGAAACAAGTTCTGCATGCCTTTCTCAGTTCTATTGTGACTCTCAGTAAAACATCTAGCATCATCACATAGTTGTGTGCCATGCAAGGTTTAATAAATAAGAAATAGTCTGGTTTTTTTGTGCATACTAGTAAAGGTCTGTCAGTCTACTGCTTGCATGAGAGCACTAGACCTGATGTCACAGTAGTAGCAATTGAGCAGTAATCATGTCACTTGCTTTTGAACTTATTGTTAGTGAATAGTCTATGAGACAATGTGGACAAGCAGGAAGGGCAATGTGAGGATCAAGGTATATGGGTGACAATTAATCACAGTCTACTAGCCAATATCTAGCAATGGGAATATCTCCATCTCCATCTTCTAAGTAACACATTTAAAATGGGAGTATGCAGGAAGTTCAACTAGCTGAGCCATGTGAAAAAAACACTGACATGAAAAGCACTGTATAAAGCAATGGTATGCATATCTACGCTAACACAACAGTAAGAATTAAAAAATTGCTTGATTCGGAATATATACCCCCAATCAAATAATGCGAAATGAAGATACTGAGTCAATGAAGTGTTACTCGATTTTTAAACTATTATTTTTTTATGGAGTGAACTACACCCAATTTGGTCCTGACTGGATGGTACTACACAGACCATACCATTTTACCCAGGAGGGCTACAGAAAGCAAAAATGCATGTTGGTATATGTATATATCCAGACAGTTCACATGTCCTGTCCTTTGCCCTTGAATGGATTCATATATTGAAAGTCTCATGGATACAAAAAGCGTGATTAGTGAAAGGAACACTGAATCGCCAAGCACTCAGGCCCTTTTGATACTCCCAAAGACCCGAGTGTGAGAAGGCCCAATCAGTCCAAGCCTCAAGGATGAATGTCATTCTTTCATTCACAAGATAAAGGAACAGTTGATTCTCCACTTCATGATGGATGTTATATCTCATCATTAATGTACAGCATCATTAGAGGGGGTTAAAATACTTTATAAAGTCATTGATTCATTCATTTCATTGGTAAGTGCCTGAAGGCCCCAGTGCACAATTATAACAAATCTTGGCATCACATAACATCTGAAAGGGTTCCAACCTGTAGCTCTACCTCACAAGTACTCCAACAGCTGTTGGCGACATCTGTCGTTCATGGTACGTTCTACGCCCTGTTCAATCACCCCAACTGACTCCCTAACACCACAACCCTCTCCCCGCCACAAATCCACGAACAGTTTGATGAAGTATTGCAAAGCTAGGCTTGTAATAAATGGAGCGAAAGGCAAGAAGGGAGACATTATGAGTGTGTAGGGAGGATTGGAGGGCGTGTAACGAAGCCTAGGTGGTTTGAGGCGTGCGCAAGTAGTAAAATACCAGAGTAACTAGGAATCTCTAGAACACAGAAGTTGGCCGGATTCTCTTTCGCTTTTCCAATCGCAATCCGTGATTTCCTGGCTCTAACTCGCTGGTCTATTCCTCCGGAAAGGGAAAAAGTACAAACAAAAAAATCAAGCGCAACAGACCACATTCGACTTCAAATAGTTTGCACATGCCATGAGCCCAAGGTGTCAACCATCAATATGACCAATGTTGCACGATAGGCCTAGACATGGTCTGTGTCCTAGGCCCTATTCAGATATCTCGGTCAATTTAGTATTCAATGTTGATAATCAACCCCTCACCCTTCTGGCCATTGACTCCTGGCCCTGGGATAACAGCATAGTATGCATTCGTAACTCTTATTTAAAATCCGGCTCTGCTGGGCTTTCTGATGTTTGCGACATTCGTCGGCCCTATCGAAGACACGGTCTAACCATCCCTGGATCCCTGGACCCCCTCCAAAGTAATATGGCAGCCCGCATATGTCCACAGCGAAGTCACGTGCTCTTTGACAATATGCCCAATATGCCTGAGGCATGTTAAGCAAAATGTCAAAGATGGCCGGTAGCAATGCTGCAACGTGTTTTGCACATCAAGAGAATGGCTAGGTCTGCCCTAACGTTGCATTCGATGAAAACTAATGACTTACGTCAAAGGAGAAAACCTAAGCCTAGGCCTGCTATCCTGTTATGATACTTCAGGCAGCAGACCTACTTTAAGGCAACTTTTTCCATCTCTACACCTTCCCAGAAACCAAACTGACTATATGAACGTTGATTGGGCAAATATTGCGTTTATTGAAATGATTTGCATAATTTATGCTAATGAGGTCTAATATGGCCGTCAGAGAGCAAAAAGTAAACTTTTTTTTAAATGTATTTCTCACAGGTGGTTCACATATATTTGATGAAATTGACAAGTGTGGTAGTTTGAATCCTTAAAAATGCCCTGAAGGAGACAGTTTTCCAAGAAATAGGTGGTTTTTTTTTCAGAAAAGAAATTTTTTCGATTTTGAGCAGTTTATGTGACCTAATTACATATTCAATGGTATTAAAAAGTGCTAAAGGATTGGGTAAACGAAAAAAGCTACCATCATTCCTTGGAGGAACATTCAAGGTAGCTCTCAGCCAAAAATAAAGGATATAGGTGTATTAAACGAAAAGATATGCTGTTCAGGGCAGCATTTGTCAGCTGAAAAAAGCTGCAATGAGAAATCGCAACCAACGTGGTTGCCAGGGACAACAGGTTTTGGACATTGATAGCAAATTAAGCTAATTAATCATAATTGTTATATTTTCAGCTTTTTATGTCAATATTATGAATCGGCCCAAGTTGAAGTATGATCATATCCAATTTTCTTGGAAATTAATTTTTCTCCAAAGATAGCAATTCAAAAGTAGGTCTGCTACCTTAAGTGATTCAAGTAAAATGCAGAATTGCTGAAATGCTCGAGGTTCAAGATTGTTTAGTGGTATCAAGATTGTGATAATACCCATTGGGATACCACACATTGAGGTGTCTCAATGAAGAATTCTCAAAAGAGGGGAGATGTGGAACAGCAAATTAAGAACAAAGAAGCATGAGGAGTGGCTAATTGTGGTATGAAGGAGAAATATTTAGGCTTGTACCAAGGTAGTATCTATTCAAGACCACCAGCAGATCTACCAGTCACTTACCTTCCCACATTTTATATCCTCTTTATTCTATTAGTAGCTCTACATGCTTAGCCACACAGAGGAATAAAGGTTTTATTACATTGAAAAGCCCTTAAAACAGGATGGTACATGTGGAACAAAATGCTTTCACTCCTTTTCTGATTGTATTTCATGATTTTGGTATC